TTAATTAAATTTAAATAAATTAAAAATACTATAAATAGTAAAATAAAAAATAAATTTATATTATTGATATTAACTTTTGGAAAGTCTAGCAGTAAAAGTTGAAGCAACTCAAATTGTTTCACAAGGTTGCACTACTACCAGCTGGCATACTTAAAAACTCTGCTCACCTTTTTGTATTCAATCTTTCAAATTTTCCAGCTTTAGATAAAGACATATTATAAAATATATTATATAGTAAAGAATATAAAGAAAAGATAAAATAAAATAATAATAAAATAAAAGAAAAAATAAAAAAAAATAAAAATAAAAAAAAAATTCGAAATAAGTAAATAATTACTAAAAAAATAAAAATAAAAAAAAAATAAAAAAATTAAAATAGAGCAAATAGATGTGAATTAAGTTAAAATAAGGTAAACTGATCGAAACAAAAAATATTAATAAAAAAAAAAATAAAAATACATGAAAAGAAAAAAAAAATAAGCAAATTTAAAATAAGCTAATAATAAGGTGGCATCCATAATTCACGTTAAACCAGTATTGTTATAGAAATCTTATAGATAATACAAAAATAATACTACTGGTATTATTAACAAGATTTCTATTTCTATACAATACAGTACTGGTTTAACATAAATTATAGATGCCACCTAAATAAAAAAAAAATAAAAAAATAAAATATAAAAAAATAAAGTATGAAAAAAATAAAATATAAAAAAATAAGAAGATTGAATAGATGCGAATTATATTAAAAAAGATTAAATCGAAGTGAAACAAGCAATATGGTAAAAAGAAAATAAATTTATATGACAAACAAGTTAGAATTGATAGATGATTTGAAAGAAAAATATTTAGAAAGTGCAATAGAATGAAAATATTATGAAGAGAAAAAGAGCTAAAGAGACTGTATTTAAAGTTTTTTAAATTAATTCTAATATAATCGAATTAATCCATATCTACTTAGATTTATTTAAAGGTTTTCGATAAAATTTAAATCTATTCAAACTTTCTAAAGTAATTGATTTTTACTTTATTATAATAAATTATTACATATTTATCTTTATTTAATTATATAAAATTAGTATATTAAATACATTTAATTTATTTCAATATATTAGTCTTTTAAATATGTTAAATGATTTTAATAATACCTGAATTTTTTTAAAACACATTTGGTCAAGATAAAACAATTCGAATTAACCTGATTTATTTTACATATAACTTTTACTATATTTAGTTTATGCAAAATAATTTAAAATAAATTAATCCGCTTTAAAACTAACAAAAGCCAATTATAGTAATTATACTAAATATGCATATTTTATATTATTCTATTGTTACGAAGATGTATTCTAGATTTTTAATATAATCTGAATTACAATAAATAAAATTTATATGTTCTAAAGTAATTGAAAAGTAAGGGGTTTAAAAGAAACTAATACAATTATATTTTATTTTTTAACAAAACGATATTGATTTAAGTAATTAATATACTAAAATGTATTTGATCAAACTAAACAAAAATAAATTAATTTAGATAAAAACAATATGTATCAATTTAAATTTCTCTAAATTAATTTGATCTAGAAAAATTCAAATTAATTTGATTTAAGCAGCCTTATGAAATTTAATCTGATTGAAAAATCATAAGCTATTTATAATAAATTAATCTAAAAATGTATATAGTGCATTATATTATTATTAAGGCTTACAATAAATAAAATTTATTTGTTCTAAAGAAATTTATTTGTAAGAATTTATAATAAATTAATAATAATTTTAATTAAATATGACAAATAAAATTAATCAAAGCAATTCAAAATAAATCAATATAATTCAAAATGAAGCAATTTTATAAAATTTAATAAGCAGACAACAATAGTAGAAAGTAAATTAAAATATTTATTGTTATAGATAAATTCGAATAGGTTCAAATTTAATTAAACTGTACCAATTTATTGTAATATATGAAAAATGAATATTTTAAATAAAATTCTCAAATAATAGAAATATATATTATTGTAAACAAGTTTACTAAAATGCACCTATGGTGTTCAATACTATAGGCCCCTATTTCTCAAAAATGTACTAAGTAAACGGGATCGGGTATTCTAAGTAAAAATGACCAGGACCCCCAAAAACTTTATAAAAACTAAAATTAAAACCTTATATCTAATCTACATTATATAATATTAAAAAAAAAAAAAAGTATTAAAAAATACACCCTAACCTTAAAAACAATTATATATGGTGCTAAACACCATAGGTGCATTTTATAATAATTGAAAAATTTGTAAAATTAAGAAATTGGTTTCTTACAACTTTATTACTATTTAAAAAAACTATAATAAGCAGCTCTGCTAAATAGTAACAATAATCTCTCGATCACTATATCTAGTTCATTGTAGATTTTTTTTTTTTTTTGTCAATTATTGTTAAACTCTCAAAACCGATGTGCATAGATTTTGTATTAGTATTTGAAAAGTTATACTGTAAATTTGAAATAATTGTAAATTATTAGTGAAAACGGACTTTGTAGATTAATTTTTATCAGATTTGGCAGGTTATCGGTTTTGACAAGATTGGTTTGAGAGCTTCAACAGTATATAATTAGGCGTAAATAAATGGAAAAAAAATAAATATTATGTATCATTGTATAACAAATACCCAAAATATTAATTACATATTATGGTGTATTTTGTTGACGATACCTTTTTTTTAGATTAATTATTAAAAAATAGTAACAAATTCTATTGTACAGATTATTATATGCCATAATTAATTTAAATAGTAAAAGAAAAAAAAAACCACCATAATACACGTATGTATTTGGTTTATAATGAGTTATAAAATTTGGATGATAACCAATTTTTAAGACCTTTGTCTATATACAGAAGCATCACATAATAGATTGGTAAATTACTATACAATAAAGAAAACTTCTTGAAAAGTTGAATAGAATTATACAACAAATTTTGAAAATCTATAAATAAAATGTGAAATCTATTTGATCTTGATACTAATAGCATTAAAATTATTAAAAAGTATTTGTTTGTATGTACTAAAAATTCTTATTCATCTTTCAACGGAATTTTTACAACACTCCAATCTCTTACTTTTTCAAATACCCAGAAGTTCAAACTACCCAGTGGAACAATAACCCACATCCTAGCAGACATTCCAACAAATAAACCTTTTACACCTTCTGTCTTTACAATACTTGCAGCCATGTTCCACCATCTTAACTCCTTTTGTTTTTGTCCTGCCTCACGAGCGATCTGTATTCTTGTTTTTACAACATCGAAAGGTGCAGAAGTGAAAGTTGCAGTAGCCCCAGCCATGACACCAGCTGACACAGAAAGAAAGAAATGAGAAGAAGGTAAGAAAGGAAAACGATGTTGATTTTTCTGTAATGTTTCCAAAGTATAAGTATAAGTGAAAAAATAGGCAGGAAAAAAAGAAATTGTGTTGAGTAGACCAGCAGCCCAACCACGGTAAAGAAAACGGAGAAGAGGAACATCTTTAGGTTTTAGACGCGTGATAAAATTGTTTCTTAACGAGACCGAATGCAAATGTGGGTCATTGATATTAGGTGTTAAAGGTGTATTATGAGGTGTAACAATATAAGTTGGTTGATTGGAGGTCGTTGCAGTAGAAATTGCTCTTTTAAGAGTCGATGAAGTGTTATTAATTTGAGTAATATTATTAGGTGAAAAATGAGGAGATCTCGAGACTTGAAGTTGTTGAGAAATTACATCAAAAGGGATCATAAAACTTGAAGTTATCACAGCGCTTAAAGTTCCCAATAAGGCATTAATAGTTGTATGACTACGATTTTCTAGCCAACCTAACCCAACAGAACTGCCTTTCCCTTTGTATACCATGTCCCTTAATGCATCGTAGGTAGAGAAATGAACCAAACGTCCACTAATACTGCCTAACCCGTAAACTCCTACACCTTTAAAAAAACCACGAACGCCTTCGGCTTTAATCCTTTCAGCGAAAACTTTTCCCATCGTTGTAGCAGAAGACGTTCCTATATTAGATTGCTGAATTGTCTTAATAGTTCTTATAGGATAAAAGACATATATTGGGATAAGATTTATGAAAAAGCCATATAAATAATAACGTTTAAAATCTATAGCTTGATCTCGTTCTAGACGGGGATTCATCTCGGTAAAGTTGAAATAAAAGTGCTAAAATCCCTTGTTCACTCCCAACCGTAGAGAGAAACAAAACTCTCCCGGGATATAAAGGCTTTCTTGTAGAAAGTCAAGAAGCTGATAACCGATAAGAATTGTGTATATTACGTCATGAGTACTCTTATGTTAGCGTTAGGCAAAAATCGGATCTGGAACAGCATGGTAGAAAATCCAGCATAACGAGCTTTAATTCCGATTGGTCAACCACTGATATGTAGATGTTATTGTATCTTGTTACATAAAGTGATAAGAGATGTCTGATTGTAACATATATAAAACTTATAAAACTTGTACTTAGACAAATAAATATAAATTACATACAAGAATAAAAGCTTAAACAAATTTATCTATAATCTAAATTTATTAGATTTATCTAGATTTTATAGTTAATATGTAGTTTGTAAAAGTACTACAGAGAGACCTCTCTAAATGCACTCTCTATAAATGCACCCTCTATGTAAAATCTCTTTAAATGCACAGTTTAGTCTGATCCCAGCTTATAATAGCATTATATATTTTGCTCTCTATAAATGCACACCTCTCTATTGAATTTTTTTACTATGATCCCGAGAGGGGGGGGGGGGATTTGAAGAGGTCCCTCTGTATATTAAATTCACTTAGTAATTTAATTCGTAAATAAACATGAATCACATTAGAGGTTCTACTATTTAATTATGAAAATATACTAATTAAATAATAAAAATAATGGTTGATATTTAGTACGTATTTGTACGATTTGATACAGAATGTTGTATCGATCTTTTAACATAATTCTTAAACAGGGTCTCTCATGATTACAAATTTTAATTGAATGTGCAATGGTTTAATAAGGGTTAACGCTTTTTTGATGTTGCATACCTTCTATCCGGAATATTTTATAACTGATAAATAACACACACTTAGCAGCATATAACACTTCTATTATATAAATAATGTACTTTTAATAATTCTTTTTTTAGAATTATTTATCGATTTAGACATTGAAAATAACAACTTTAACACAGGGAAGCTTACAAATTGCTTGAAATTATATACATCTTAATCGATAGTAATCAAATCTTTTCTAAACATCACAGTCGGGATTCGTTAACGAAGGTACGGTTTGATTCACGGTATATTCAATCTCCATTCGAGTCTCTCTACATCCGTATGCGGAGGGAATAATTTCAATTAAATAATTTTTGGGTATAATATTTCTAGGTATTTCCTGTTAAATAACAATGGGTTTTTTTATTTATCAAATATCGTTTTAGAAATAAAGTCCGTGATAAACGATCTTACATCTTCTGGTTGATCAAACAGATACGCATACAAGCACTTCAGTACTGTTTCATGAGCAATGATCAATACATCATTTTTCTCATGTTCAAGTTCAAGAATTATAGACTCAAGGCGGACAGCTAAATCGTGGTAAGACTTAATAAATAATTTAATATTTCAAATTATCTTATGTGAGAATTGAATGTGTTATAATTTAATGAGCTATCTTTTTCGTAAAGTTGCACGAACAAAAATTCACAAATTTGAGTGGCTAGCCAGTTTGCGGTGCCAATCACATTTTGTGCATTTTTGTTCATGTAACTTGGTGAAATTTTTTAGTAAATTACCTCAGCTCTCGGGTATCGATGATGATATAAATCCTGTTGTTGTTTTTCATATTCTTCTGGAAATTTTGCCTAGTTCAATATTGAAATTAATGTTACGATTTAATTTTGTCAAATTTTAGTAACAAAAATGGGACTATTATCACAATATACTTTGATTTCGTCCACAGTTAACCCGTCTACTTCCCCAAGATTGAGTTCGGCTATTGAAGGTCGTTGTTTTACAATATAACCCTCATCCTCAAAAGGTTTCGCAGTTTGGTAAGAACGTCGACGTGCCGATGTCCATATCTAATAAAAACAAATAATGAATACGATATAATCGTGTTTTAAAGAACATTACAATAAACAGCTTACAGTTAGCGTTCTTTCATCTTCATCGCCCCAACCTTCCTCTTTTCGTTGTTTTTTTTCTTTTTCCCTCAAAGTCAATAAGAAATTTTTTAAGTTATGTGCATAGCGTATACCCTCAGGGTTTAATTCTGCATCAGCTTTTTGAGACATTTCGTTTAATGATTCTCCTGTCTTTTTGACAAAGAGTCAACATAAAAAATGATATGTTTAAACAAGCAGAAGTTCATTATACCTGTGCGAAATATATTATCCTCGGTGAAACATGTAAATTCATTAAATAAAACACTATACGAGACTAAATAATAATAATAATTAATATATTGTCAAATAGATCGTAAAACTATTTCAGAACAATTGATATAAACCTGAAGGTATCCCTTCACATTATTAACGATAATACGTTCTCCAACATTAATCATCTTAACAAAACTTAGCGAAGTATCAGATATTGTTTGATAATACCCGAGGTGATTATTGATGCGTTTCTATTACATGAAGACAAATAACGAAAAGCAAGTGTCAATAGATGAACAGTAATTTTGAAGAGCAAATGAAAATATGGGTTCATACCCAGTAATCTTTGACGGCTTCCTCTCGATCCCAACCAATATACTATATATAAGATAAGTGTGCGATTTTTATATTAGATAATAGAAATTGCTTATTAAATCCATGTGAAATTTTCGTACATCCGGTGAAGTTATTTTGACACTTCGAATATTTGCTTCGATAATATCTTGTTTATCACATATCGATTCTAAATTATATTAATCATAATAATATTACCCATATAATACCGGTTTATTAAACTACATAACAAGTAGCGCCAAATTTACCAATGAAAACAGGCTGTATAAGGTAAATTAAACATGCGTTTAAATATATAACACGATTAATATGAATTAATATATAAAATTTATGTAAGTCTGATATACTCACATGAATATCTTCATAAATCAGGATATCATATACTTCTCTACGCCTTTCCTCAGTCGTATTACTAGCATCCAAGATGCCAATTTGGCCACCATCTTCCAACCATCTTATCATATCCTTTAAACATTCTATCGCTATTTTACGTCGAGATTGAGCAGCCTCTTGATTCCCTTTTGATATTTAAAAAATTGTTATATTTATTACAAAACAATTATGAAACTGTGATTCATGTTCCTGACGCATAAATTACATAAATTTTGAAAATACCCAAATCAAAAAAATTATGTGGCAATTTCCCAACGGAGCCCATCGCTTTACGACGATAGTTTCCTACGCTAAATACTTTGGTAGGAACTCCCAGCCATCGAAGATATCTGCACAGTGAGCGCGAAATGTGTGTCTTTCCTCTCGCTGGCAACCTTACGAAATAAGTATTGCACATTAGAAAAATGTATACAAGAAAAGGGACTAAAAATCCATTATACTCTTAACGTACCCTACAGTAATTATAGCTATCTTTCCTGCATGAAACAGACGACCAGACGTTGTTTTATACAATTGAGCAGCCATAGTATTTTTTCCTAGTAATGGAAGGAAAAGATTAAAATTCACTCAAAATTTTACGATCACCATTTGCGAGATGGTATATCACGTGATTAGAATCGTTTAACGTAAATTTTTTAATCCGGAAAGAACTTACCGTAGAAAATTAAAGACATTTTTCGATCTATAAAGACGTGCAAGCTTTTGAAATATCAGAATTGGTTAAGTTTTGCTGAAACATCTTTACTCAAGCTAGTAAGGATTGGAACTGTTAGAATTCAAAAACGGTTAAACATCGAAATTGTCTACCTAATCCTTATCTGTTCATTGCATTATCGTTATAGTCATCCGAGCTTTGAGCAAAAACTTAACCAATTGTAGCATAGATATTTTCGATTATCTATTTGAAGTTAAATGATTTTGAAGTTAAATGATTAAGTTACGGAATTTTTTCAATCCAGCGATGTATATCACGTGAAAATGCACGCTATCCGTTCTTTAGAATTATTTATCCTTTTTTGCTTAATTTTTTGTGGAGATCTATTCGTTTAATAGCAAGGATAAATAACAATCCTCCTATCGGATAACAATACTATATTTACTAATGAAAATTTTCACGTATATATGTTAGATAATTAGATCAAATGACGAAAAAAAAATCGTCATTATGTCGTCTAATATAATCCAAATCACAACAATTTCTTCCGCTGCTGTTCTTGGTGGCTTTTATCTATACTCTCCAGACTTTTTTCCTATAATAGCTGCACTTGTTTCTATTTTATGGACTATTGTCGCGGCTAAACTTTTCTTTTTTGATAAGAAAAAAGGTATTTGGTTGATTTACTGTCAAAGTTTCACGCTTGACCTTTTTATATTATGTTTGTTTATTTATATCAAATTATACTGGAATCGTATATTATTAAAACTGCTAACAAAAGCACCAGCTTTGAGTCCAGAACAATGGAAACAGTTTCCTCTCGTGGAAAAAATAAATATTAGTCATAATGTTGCCTTGTAATATTTTTCAAAATTCACTTTGTAAATTTATTATCGATAATGTTAACAAGACAAACTAAATACTGTTTAAATCCATAGGTATCGTTTCAGGTTACCCAACCCTGACGATGTTTTAGGTCTTCCAATTGGGCAGGTAAAAATAAATTCATAAATTTTGTTATCGATTTCAGTAATATTAAAATTTCTAAAATTGGGTTATTTTATTAACAGCATATTTCAATACAAGCGGAAATTGATGGAAAATTGATTCAACGTAGTTACACACCAACAAGTTCTGATGATGATATTGGACACTTTGACCTTGTCATAAAGGTACATTGTTTTTTATATTAAAATCTTTATATTTAAATATACTCATAATTTATAACACGCTTGCAGACTTATCCTAATGGCAACATATCAAAATGGATTGACGGTCTTGAAGTGGGACAAACGATTAGTGTTAGAGGTCCTAAAGGTCAATTTAAGTATAAACCCGGATTAGTGAGAGCTTTAGGAATGATCGCTGGTAAGTAATTCTTGTTTATATCACCATGCATTTTTTTTTTTTAGAAAATTGTTCGTGACTTTTCCTCTCGTATTAAAAGGTGGTACTGGAATAACACCAATGCTACAGGTAGCTTCGACTGAAAAATCATGTAATCTATTATTTTGAAAATTTTGATTCACGTTCTTTTCATAGATTATCCGAGCAATTTGCAAAGATCCGGCGGATAAGACGCGTGTCAGCCTTATATTTGCGAATGTGACTTATGATGATATTCTCTTAAAAGACGAATTAGATTCTCTCGCTGCTCGACATGAGAATCTCACTGTATATTATTCATTAGACAAAGTATGCATATGATGGTAAAATTCTTTTGTCTGAACATTGATCTCATCCACCCTTTCATCTTAATTAGCCTCCACAAGGTTGGACAGGCGGTTCCGGGTTCGTTACTCCTGAAGTTATACAAAAATATTGTCCACGTCCTGCTGATGATATCAAGATATTGTTATGCGGTCCTCCTCCCATGGTTTCTGCAATGGCCAAACATTGCGAAAACTTGGGCTACGATAAAGCTCGATCCATTTCAAAATTAGCGGTAGACTTTTATAACTTTATTTATGAATTTTTTTGAATCGTAATCTCTTCTCTAATTTACTATTTTTTATGCTAGGATCAAGTCTTCAAGTTTTGACCTATATTTACGTGGCGTTCTGCCGCATATCGAAATACATCTCCTACATTAATTAATCTGATTTTGATATTTACATATGGTGTATTTTAGGTAGCTAATTATGCTTTATACAAAGCATTAAGTTTTTGTTATTATTACATAATAAATACTCAAACATACTGTAAGTCTATGAGGGTGTGCTACCTGCAAAAGTCATGAACTTCGATTTTATGAAATTTGAGTGACCAACATACACAATGAGAACTTCTTTTTATAGTAAATTGAAACGGTGTAGAGTTCCAATACATTAAGAATTTATCCGGATAACTATCAGATACCTGGATCTGAATTTATTAGGATACCCATTTACTATTGATATCCGGACAATTATCCGAATATCTGTCAGATTATCCGAATATCTGAGCGATTTGAATTATCCAGATAATTAGATACGGATGACGGATTTATCTGGGTTGGAACCCTAAAACGGTGACCCTTAAATCACTGGTTTTAAGGCTTCCTACGAGTAAACTGCATTGAATGTAACGTGACGTTCAAAAATATAAATACTTTTTTGCGAACAAGTTTAAGTAAATTTAAGGCAGAGAGGTTGAATAATTTTTCTGCAAAGATAACATTTATTGCAAAAAAAAGTTTTCTTACAGGTCACTGTCTACAATACTTGGGGTTATTTAAGAATCCCATTTTAAAATTGAGTAATACCATACTGTATTTGAGGAATATAGTTATACCCGTTTTATTCAAGAAACAGGCTGGTAATGAGTATTTCGGAAGATACTGTAAGCAGTGGCCAACAGTAATATCTTTTAGTCTAAAGTAGGAATTTTAATAGCTAACTTGAGAGTTTATTATGATTAACAAGGTTACTATATAGTAAATTTTGCCTTTACTGTATATTATAAACAAAACTATTAAAATCATTGATAACAGTGGAAGAATTAAAAGTGTTTAAATTAAATAAAATATATACATTATATAGTTTTTTTAATCTTAATCGAGGGTTTGAGAGCTAGATACTGTATAATTCAAAAGATCTTTAAAGAAATAGGTAAATATATTTTTAAAAAAACTTTAATTGGTAAATATATGTTTTTTAATTTATACTATATATACTGTATATCTTATTTTTATAAATACAGCATGTTTTATACAAGATTATAACCAGTGATAATTTTTCACTGTGCGGCGCACAGTTGCAAATAGTTTCTCGTGTTTCTTTTTTTATTTGCCGCACAGAAAGATTTATAAATTGTGCGGTATCCGCACAGTAAATTTTAATTGAAAAATTAACACTGATTATAATAACTTCATTATATTGTATATACTGTATATTTTAATTTTATATATTTTTTATTATTTTTGCGCAATTTATTAAATGCTTTTTTATTTATATAAATCGATATACTATAGATAGTTATAATATTTTTTATAATTATGTATTTTAATTTATAAACAATTTCAAATAAATTTGTTTCTGATTTATTTTTAAAAATTTCTTTTATCAAATCACTAGAACTCAAAAAATCTAAATATTTTATTAAAATAAAAAACAGTATATGGGTTTGGTCAATAAAAACCAAGCAGATATTTTTTAATAAGTTTTTTTAAAAATTTTAAACAAGAATAACTTAATCAAATTTTTTTTTAAAATTAATTCTACAAGTTTGTAAAATTATTTTTATTAAATTTGGTCAGATTTTTTGTTAAGTTATTCTTGTTTAAAGTTATAAAAAATTTTATTATAAAAAATTTGCTTGACTCATCCAATATATATAATAGATGTGTTTTAAAGAAACAGTTATTTGAATTATTTGAATCATTTGAATTTAAGTTATTTGAACTTGCAGTAAAATATACAGTATTATTAAGGTGTGGGTCCAAAGCTAATTAAATTTAAATGGCTCTGGCTTTTTTACGTGCAGCAAAGTTGTGATCCTGATCGTTCAACGTTTATCGGTTAGATGGAGCCAATAAAATTATCGGCTTGGTCGCTTATTCAAGAAACGGGTTAGTGATGATGGTGAGTAATACCAGGGTCTTAATCATGGGATATGTATTATTTTCGGAGGATACTGTAACGATAAGCATGGTCAACGGTATCATTTTTTTAAATTCGACAATTCAAATGCAAAGACTTGGCAGTTTTAATCATATATACATAAATCTAGAGGTAGCATAATTGTGGTTTTCAATTTCACTGTTATAAGGTCTAATCCATTTAGCATTTTAGTTGCTTAGCTTATGATCTTAAACACGAACATACCGATACACGCCGATGCATCTTTCCACGAAATGCAAAGCAAGTTTCTTATAAAAATATTTCAAATAACGCAACTAGAATTGTTTATCTTTTATACATAGTATATACTGTATCTGATATAAAATAAAATCTATCCAATTGATTATCAATCCTCGAAATTTTATTGGTTGATTACAGTAGGCGCTTTATGGAAGAAAGAATAAAATTTCTTAGACATTTAATGTAATAATTTATTAATTGCTAATTGCGAAAACAACCTTTTGTAATGATCAAAAGCTCATTATCATCATATGATTTTAAAAAAAATCGACCAGCTAAGCTGAAAATTGACTGTAGCCGTTTTTTTAAATTATTGACTAGGATCACTATAGCAAATAATATAATATTCTGGCCAGATGCAAGTATATATTCTTCTAATCGAAAAGACCTATGTATTAAAAGTAAAGAGTATAAATATATGATTCAAATTTATTAATAAAGAATGTACAGTCACATACCGAATCCCATATCTTCGTCAGATGATTCTTTGTCTTCTTCTGCTGGTTTCTCCTCTTCTTTAGGTTTCTCTTCGGCACCACCACCACCGCCGCCCCCAGCAGCAGCCGCACCACCAACAGGAGCGCCAGCACCTTTAAAAAGCGAATTAATATATAACCATTGATAGTTAAACATCGAAAATAAGAGGTTTTGCTAGGAAATAATCTTCCTGGATTATATAGATTTGATGAAATTAAATTGGCTAACCATTCTATAATCCAATTTGAATAAACTTTGTTTTATAACATAGAACTTAATGAATTCTGAGACAAAAGAAAGTTGATTTGTGCTAGATTATTGAATGGTTAACAAAATTAATTTTGATTCACCAAATCTACATATCTCTGAAGGATTACTTTCCTAGCAAAGATCCCATATGATAATAAATACAAACCAGATCCAACATTCATCAATAAATCATTAACATTTTTTCCTTCAAAAGCTTTAGCAAACATATTAGCCCAAACAGGTTCAACTTCAATACCCGCAGTTTTTGTTAAAGTTTGCAATTTTTCGGCCTAAAATCATTATAATTTAAGAATTTATTATTAAAGAAAAAGACTTCTACTTCAATACTTACGGTAATATCAACCCCGTCATCAGCGAGGATAAGGGCAGCGTAAACAATAGCTAATTCGTTGGACATTTTTTAGAAAAAAAAAACTATTTGTGTGCGCAAGTAACGATTTAACTCGCAAAGGAGATACAATACGCTTAACGCAAATATTTTTTTTTCAATTTGATAAGTTTTTTTTTTTTCTTTTATATGCATTAAATCAAATATTAGATATTATTTTGATTGGTTGAGTTATTTCCATACAGGGACGGAATACCAGAATTACGGACATGCCACTTCGACGTTGATAAAACCGTTGCGGTTTCATTTTTACTGCGGTAAAAAAACATATCTGACTTATACTACAGTAATTGAAAAAATTTTTTGTAGCAATATGTTGAACTAGCCACGGATAGATACAACAAAATCATTCCTGAGTTTAATATAAACAAGTCTGTATAATTTTTTGGGGAATTTACAAACAGGGCCCGGAAAGTGAAAATAATTACAAATACGGGCCCAAATTAAAAATAATGTCGCCATCTATAATATATATAAACATAGCGGGCTTTCATTCTTATTGGCTAATTTTTATAGATCATCTGATGACGATACAAAATCTGATTGGCTAATCGAAACAAGTTCGAAATAAAAAAAAATTTAGAAATTAT